GTTGTTTTAACACACATTTCATTTTATGTTGCACCCAGAGTTGTTTGTCTTATTTTTTACACGATATCCAAATATTTAAACAAGCAATTTACTGAAAAAGGTAAACATTTAAACTGCAAACAATGAGTGGTTTGACTTTAAACTTAAAAACCCCCCGTAAAATATGAGGCTGATGAACCTTTTTTGCGGTGTAAGTCCAGGCCTTTTCTCTAACCACCAACTAATCGATATCTCACCAACTCCAATGCAATATTGATCTAGGGAGGATTGTTCTTTAAGGATTTCTGGAAATACCTAATTATTTCGTTGCTTTAAGTGCAAGAAAATATTGTTTCATTTACAGTCGACCTTCTTCGATTTATTACGGTTGCTTAAAATAAGTCTGTGCCCTTAATTTTATTCCCATGGACTTATCGAGTTATTGTTCGTACTAATAAGAGGGTTTATAAGGAGACTGTATCTATTATTTCCTAAAGAAAGAACTAAGAGCCATTTTCCGATGAAAAGTCCACTTTAACTTTATTCAGAAAAACTCTGTAAACTTTGAGAAAAGTAATACAATTACAATAAAAAGTGGTTTTAAATGTATGTTCGTTGAACATTATTTTCTGCATATTCTTAACTAAAGAAACTTACTTTTTATTTTTATATTTTTGGTTGCATTATTGTTGTTTTCTAAATCATTTCCGTTAAGATATTGTCAAAAAGCGTATTTTAGGATAACGGATTATCCAGATGTATTCATTAAATGTATATATATCTTTTTCGTTTTACTAAAAGCAATTTAGTTGTTTACGTTTAAAAATGTTAAATACATAATACTTTTATAAAGTACAGTTGTATTTTAATTTAGGTAATACAATGTCTGATGTAGATTTTTATGACATAAAATATGTGATAATAATTATGTGTAGTGTATTAGGTCGGTATTATTAAGGTTTTCGATTCTCATAAAAAAAGTGAATGTGCATTATTATATTAGGCTATATAATGATTGGTCCTGTGTTTATCAACACTATTTGTGTATTAATCGTTGTATTAAAATGATCAAATGTGTAAACAGCCTGGCATTCAAGTCGTTGTAAAAATAATGTAACAAATACAATTGGGTGTAATTTACAGTTGAGTAATGCTCTCTTTAACTTTGTATGTGTATATTGTGAAAAACTACCGGGGGACATTATGCATCACAATAAAAGTTGTTTTGGTTGGCCAAGTCTCTACAGGAAACACAGAATCCCACATGAAATTAAGGCTGGCGTTTGTCAAAATGTTGCCATGAAATTCGAAAAATTACAGAGTTCACATTATTGTTGTTAAGTTTCCCGATATCAAGTCGTTTTTTAAGCTTTAGAAAGGTCCCGATCACAGGCCTACCTACACCCCATTCATCCGGAATGCCATTCATCAAGACAAAATGACCAATTTTCCACAGTAAGCCGTCGGTGGCCTGTTAAACTAGGCCAATGAGCGGTGGTACACTTCGTTTCCTACCTCCTTCATCACTGCTTGCCTAACACTGCTCCACTTGAATCATCAGAGTATAGCCCCAAATCTTAAAAGTCAGAGCCCATTCTTCAAATGTATTGCATTTCAGAGGGTGTTTCTTTTACTGCGGGAGTCTTTAGGCCAGCAGAGTATCAGAGGAGGTGTAATTGAGGGGGCGGTGAGGGGATAGAGTAGCGGTCCGCCTGAAAGCTGCCATTAAAGCCAAATGGACTGAACACCGTAAAACGGCTCAGCCAACAGCTGTCCCACAATCGGAGTCTTATATGCCAGGATCCTCAAGCACGCACCACACACACATTAGGGCAAAGCTGCTGATGTAGTGGCTGCTTAAAAGTATTAGACAGCAAAGCCGAGAAAAGAAAATACCATAGAGAAACCACACGTAATATTCGTATTATTTTACAAGGACGCAGACTGATTTGGGTCTCTCAAGGCATTTTTCACCTCTCTACAAGTGTTAGTCTTCTTAATAACCTGGGGAATTGCAATTTTGCTGGGGGAGCCGATTTGCTTTACATATTTCCACACATTATGGTCGTCCTTTTTCATAAGAGCCCCAAAACAGGTGAGAGGGAGAGGGATGGCGAGACACACTATGTTTCTGCGTGTGCACGCGAGGAAAGAAAGCTCATATCATTCACAGGTTTACACAAGTTACTTTTTACGCATGGATTTGCCTAAAACGTTTTAATGGCTGATACTTTATTTGTAATGGTGTTTCACCACAATTGTGCATACATGACGGTTGATAGCATATCAAATGATTCCACTCATTAAACAGATAGAAATTAAAGTATATATTTGCATGTTTCTATGGGGACTCTTGCACACCTTAAGAGGCACAACACCCCCCCCCCCCCCCTACCCCCACTTGGTGCAACACCTGTGCCCAGACGCGCATTTTTAAACAAGTGCTGCACCTTCCTCGCCCTGCACAATAAAGCCCAGACACACTCTTTCCTAAATGTGATGTCTGCGGCTCCAATTGTCGTCTCAGTCTGCGAGTCCTTATTAGAATAGAGAAGGAGAGAGGCGATTGAAGAGGAGTTGTTTCCACTGGATTAAATGGTTTCTCTGCAAGTCAATGAATATGTAATGATGTCTAACGAAACCGGCCAGTGAGTTCTGTGCTGTGGTACACAGGCCCTATTAAAGAGCTCTTCTGCTGGGGAAGAACACAGTATAGAGCCAGGACAGAGAAAAGAGGGGCAGAATAGGGGAAGGGAAGAAGGGATACAATCTTGAATGCACCTCCAAGCTTAAGCCAGACATTCTCCCTCAGTCAATAGATGAAAAAGTATTTGCGCACGTACTGAGAGAGAGAGAGAGTCTTTCTTTGAGCAAGGGTGGGGGGTGAATTTACATTTTTTAAACTGCTTTGGAAATATTGTTTCTGATAAGCAGTCATGCCAATAAAGTAATTGAATTGAATTGATAGAGAAGGGGCGAGAGGCAGAGAAAGAGAGTTCCTCCACCATGATTGTTAAAGATATTTCTCCCTTAGTATACCCGATAAAACATTGATTGTTGCAGTTAGTTGACCCGTAACATTTGGGGGTTAGTTTTCTCTTCTGAGCTGAGCATATAATTATGCAAATAGTGATCTGACAGTGATCCGCTGGAGGAGTGCTGAAGAAGAGAGAGTGTGTGTTGTGTGTGTTGGAGGGGGGCTGTCAGAGGGGTGACATTCCAACTTTGCCTAATGCCTGGTTCCTTTGGAAAGAGTTCATCTTCTGCGGGGATGGCGTGCATATCAGAGAGGGCCGGAGCAAGCAAGCGTGACAACAACTCTCTTAAAGTAAAAATTGAAATATCAGGCTGTGTCAGCACAGGGGTTCCCCCAACTTTTTCATGTCAAGGGCTCTACCCCACCCACCCACTCCTCCCCAAAATCTGCCATTACTGCAGAGACCCCCCATTTGGCAGAATTTCATCCTAAAGCTCCGCAGCTGATGCTATTTTATGTTCTAGATATGATTCAGTGTGGAGCTGCCTGTAACTGTCTGCGCCACAATAGCTGGGAGAGTGAGACATATAATCAAATCAGTCATACATATTATACATTCACACGCTGTGCTAACTTCTAGCGAGTAAAAAGACAGACGCACCAGACTGTTTCTCGGTTGGTGAGGGGATCCCTCCTCGGGAGAGTCCCGGGGACTTTTAGGAATCACCGAGAAGAGCTCAGACTAGCACCGCAGACATGAAGAGATCATCGGTGGCTTTGGAAGTGGGGAGACAGCTACATGTGACAACGTGATGCATGAGTGGTCAATCTGAAAGCAGGGATATTTATCACAAGGGATAAAAGGGATATAGTTTATATTAAGTCAAATGCTATGAAGCAGAACTAGACACTCAAAAACTTTTGCCAAACTTCTATCTAACACGTCTTAGGGCATAACATAATTCCTGATCGAATATTTAATTCATTTAGATGTAGTATTAGTCGTGTGCCTTTGATGATCACTGACTGGAGGTCATAATTTAAAGAAGCCCACCACTACATCATTCCTGTGGACAGAAGGCAGGTTATTTAATTACAACTCCGGAAATTCTCACTTAATAGGCTTCAAGATATTCTCTTTCTCTATATCACATAATTTATAAATTAGATCGTCTTCAACCAAAAAGGTTTGAAACACATATTTAAGGCAGAACGTTGAGTATTGTGTGTGTGTGTGTGTGTGTGATTGAATGCCTCTCTTTAATCAGCGGCCTGACACGGTGTGAGGGGGACTCGCCTGGTTCCACTTGTTGTTCAGGGGTTAATGGAAAAGATTTCTAAAGATTTATTGAGGGGGCGTTTAATGACCTGATCGGTTTCACCGTGTGAAAACAAATGATGCTGTAAAACCTCGCTGAGTTGGAGGGGGGCTCACTTTGCCAAAATTAATGACCAAAAAGAGGGGAATTACTGTTTATAGTTTGTTTTCCTTTTGACACACTTGAGTGACTTGTTCAGGCTACACGCTGACGAGAAACGTTTGGAAGATATTGCTTTTTCAGAATAGCCTGACCTATACATGTTTAAAATGTGAAACTATTATCTACTGCTTAACCTAACAGTAAGCGCTATAGTTAACACTGAAATGAAGTGAAATTGGTTATTTGGATTGTTTAGAAACATGACAAAGGATATAGCCTACTAATGGCCGATTATGTGGCAGCAAATGCCTCTTAGTTGTCTTCTCTCTCGGTTAGCTTTCAGAAGTCATTTGAGATGATTTCTCAGGTCATTTTTCACCCGCTGCTCGACTCTCTCGTCCCGCAGCACTGCTTTACACTTTCGGGAGCATCTCTGTCTTTCTTCGATTAAATCGTACCTGACTTTCTAGCACTGCTGATTTATTTTTCAACACATTCCTAACGTGCAGTGTTCTGCAACGGCATCAGTAATCTACTCCTGCAAGAAAAACAAGGGGGAATAAAGAGCAACACGAAATACAAATCAATAATAAAGTAATAAAAAAACGTGTAGACACAATATAAACAGTAGGATGCAAAAGTTAATTTTATTTGCTTTTCAGAGCTTTAATAGCTTAATTAAAAAATGAAATCAACATTAAAATAATGATTAAAGACTTTTAAAACTAAAATAGTTACAAACAGAACGAGACAAAGATCGGGCAGGACACTTGTGGTCAAAATCCAAAGACCTTTGCGATATAAAAAAATATGCATGATTCTTAAACCAACACAACTCCTGCAAAAAAAGTCTTCAAGAGCAATTGTCAAAATTAGTCCCCCTTTATTTGCACACTGTACTTTGGATTTAGGCTGCTCTTACATCTTTAGTTCCATATGGCTTGCTCGATATTATTAAAAACAGTGAACAGAGTCTTGTTTATTCCTAAGGCAACAATATACAAATTATGGAGTGAAAATGAACTGATTGTAGCTGAAAAGCAGAAAAGATGAGCAATGGTATCTTGAAACGAAACTCATCAAATCAAATAATAAACCAACTTCTTTGCTGAAACCTGGAGAGATCTGAATCACATTAAAAGAAAATTAGGCCTGCAACCATCAGCCACAGTTGTCTCATTACAGCAGGAAGATAATCTACAAAAGCCTTAAACCATACACACAGGAGGGGCAGGATTTCAGTGTAAAAGTTAAACAATGGGAACTATTTGAAGTAAAGAATGGAATATATATATATATATATATATGAGAAAGATGTCTAAGGTATCATAAGATTTAGTACCAGTTTGAGTTTTAACTAATGTCATGACACATTATAAATGTATTCCATTAAGCCTTGAGTGGTTTATAAAGCACACCATGCAGCCTTGTGGATTTTTTTTAATTATGTTTGTGTCATTTAGTCAGATTATGCCGCTGAGCAGGGAGCTGACTTTGTCACTTTTAAGTACACAAGAAGAGTACTTTGGTGGGAGGAAAAAGGGGTAAGAAAAAAGATATGTTACATTTCTCCAACATCTAAGGAAATATCATTCAGGCTTAGAATAATATTGAAATCTTGGATTCCCTGACACATGTAAGGTGATATATTGAGGCTTTATGAGAGTTTTGAGCTGACTTCTGGCTCCTGTTAAAATGAGATATCCCGCAAACCCATTTTGATGCTTGACTTTAAGTAATTTTAAATATGCTCAGTGTCCTGAATTTTTCATATTCAGCACAGATGTGTTTGTTTTATTTGTTTCATCACATCCAATCATCCGGAGACATCAATTTCAAGGATATCAAATTGAAAAAAAAGGACATATTTATAATAAACACATAGAAACGCACTCTCCACAGCTTCGCAAATCAATCCTAGAGAAATTCTAAAGTAAAAACTCACAGCTGAAGTATTGGCTCAATATAAAAACATGGAATAGTGGGAATGTGTGTATGAGACATTGCATTTAAATTTAGCTCAAAGTTGAAACATTTAAAAAAGATCTCTTATTATAGCGGTGCAATCCCCAACATATATGGCACAGGCTTTAACTAAATTGACACTAAGCTAAAAGAAAAAAGAATTGTTTTAAAATCTGACTGCATGTGCAGAGGAGTTGGAGGATAAAAAAAGTAAAAACACAAAAACCCTTTGTTAAAACAAAATAAATGGTCCCCAGTAAAGAGTATGCGTTCACTCTTTGAAAAAAACTCATTTGTGGCGGGCAAGGGATTTCAAAAAAGAAGATGTCCACTGATCAGCTTGATAATATACCTTACAGCATGAGCTGATGTCAGGGTAAGTGGCCCAGGCTTTAGGACCAGGGGGGGGGAGGAGGGAGAGACTGAGCAGTGCAGACTGGAGGGCAGGCGGGGCATTAGCTCAGTTCAGGCTGATGTCAGGACAATTAGAGGTGCACCACAGTGCATTGTGCACAGCGCCTGTCAGCCTTAATCTCTGCTGCCATGGCCCGTACCCGCAGCCAGGCCACAGCCCACGGGAAGCGCTAACACTCAGGCCCATATTGCTTTGACAGTTGCGCTCATCTAGAAGTAATGCAAAACGTTATTGTGATGTATACATGGTGACCCTGTACTCTTGTCTCCTACAACAACAAGGCTATGTGTTTGCACAGCCAGGGAGGGCTGAAAGGGAGGAATGACACTCAGGGAGAAGGGTGAGGAGAAAAAGATTGGAGGTTACAGACGGAGAGGGGAAGGAAGGAATATCAGAGAGGATCTGGAACCTTAGCCTCCCTTTCTGCATTGCCCCTCTCTGATCCATTGCCACACAACTCCATCTCCTCTCGTTCCAAGTCATTTTGGTCTATCCTCTACAAATCTTGGTGTTTGTATTTAAGGGAGCTGCTACGTGTGGTAACAGTGTTGGAGGTCTCCTCTGCCTCCTCATCCTCTTTCGTCTCCAGGCTTTTATTGAAGAACCTGAAGATGGAGTCGAAACTCATCCAGGAGGTCAGCTCATGCCGCTCTGTGCCTACAAGTAAAAGACACACATAAAGACATACATTAGCATGGTTCACAACATATTTGCTTACTGTGAAGCTGGGAGAAAGTGTATGGTAACTATTCTGACATTAATCAATCAATTTAGCTTACACCTACTGTGGAAACACAACAAGTGAAATTAAGCAATTACAGATGATATTTCTTAGTCTTGTAAGGCCACCAATCCCACAATGTACTGCATCAAGGCCCAATGCATGAGAGCCTTGACAGCCTATGACCTATTAGTCCAATGGGACAGCCTTTGTATGTTATCCAAGTGGATACCTGATAATCAACGCCACTGCACCTCCCTCTTTCCATCTCAGACCTTCCAACAAAACAAGAGTTATGCACAATAGGGGCACTAAGCGAAACCAGTGAAGCGGTAGTCATTCATTCTTAGGGCTGATTGAGGATAGGCAAGACAGAAGTTGGAGAAGGTAACAAGCAAGCATATCAAGTGCTCTGGCAGTGGTGGGTGGGTGGGTGGGGGGGGGTTGGGGCAGCAGTGCTGGGTTTCCCTCTGACCTCCTCCAGGTTAGCCAGTTCCCAAGTTGGGGTCACTGGAGCCTGAAATCTGGTCCAAGCGCCTCCGGTTGCTGCCCGCCTCGGGGGTTAGGTTATCGCTTGCCAGCATTTGAGTTGGTTAGCTTGCAAACTAAATGGCAGTTTCTGTGTTTCTTCTATGCCAGCTAGTCCTGCTACATAAACACCTCGGCTCTGCATCGGAGCGTCCATGATGAGGACAGATCGTGGCTGCAGCTGTTGCACGCCTCGTCTCCTACTCCTGCTCGCTAACCATTCAGCATGAGCGCTAAGAGATAATGGCCTGTTTCTGCCGCCGCTGGCTAGCAGCTCAGCTGCTTAGCAACTTAACTGTAACTGGACTGGAGAAGCCATATTAAGGTGCCCTCTTGTTTCCCAGAGGGAGAATAGGGTTGCCGCATGATGATATTAAGAGTTTCATCCCTTGATAGATGGATCTAACAAAAATGTACATGTGTTTACAGAGAAAGGATGAGTGAATACAAGCCCTGAAGTAATGAGTTTTGAATCCTTATTTGCACACTTAACTATTTTTGTCGCAGGGACTTGCATTTGTTTGTAAGATAAGAACATTAAAATGTGTCCCTACAATTTTCTCGGGAGGATTAAAAACCAGGATAAGCTTAGTATCTGAAATCAGTTAGGGTTGCAGGAAAACAACTGGTCCCAGCAGAAAAGGGTTGAAAACCACAACCCTTGTGGAAGAGTCAAATCAGTAGTACATTAAAAATACCACTTTACTTCAGCTCCTCTCTTCAGTGCCTTTCTCCTCCATACTCCTGTGTACATGCGATCGGCTATAAAAAGCTAGACTAGAAGGCCGCAGGGATACAATTAGGAAGCACCTTAAAGGCTCTCTCACTATAGACAGGCCTCTGATGACCACTGCACTGACCCCATGTTTATTAGATTGACCCCTGCCTGGGCGCATTAATGGAGATGGCGTGCGTGCGTGTGCACATGTGTGTGTGTGTGTACGGTTGTTAGACTGGGGGTAAGTGTTGGGTCTTAGTGTGTACCTGGGTTTAGTTGGTGTGTTCTGTTTGTGTGAGTGTGTAATTTGTGTGTACTAGTATGTAAGGGGGTTCTCGATCACTCTGAGATAAGGGACTGTGCCGCACGCTATATAGCAAGCAGGCTGCAGTCAGTGCCTTGGGTCAAATTTACTGGCCTGGCAATCATGGAAGTCAATAACCCCGCACTCTCAGTGACTCTGCTACCTGTGTAGGGCTCAACATAACACCCATCCCTGGAAAACAAAGACACAGCCCTCTCACACCTCTAATCTATCATTTATATCCAATTTGAGGCACTGTGATCTTTTTCCGCCTCCTCCTCCTCCATTTCCCCGGTCTCATCGGTCTTTCCCTCACTAGTGTTTTAACTTCTGTTTTGTCCTTTTTTTTTTCTCCCGCAGAAACGATCAATGCCGCAGCGCTCTCTCATTCACCCTGAACTGGTGGTGAACTCCCCCGGAACGCCGCCAGCCTCTCCATCCTATCCCATCGCAGTCCGGGGTCACCAGGGGGGCGTCTCTGTGCCAATATGCAGATGAGCCTGTGCCCCTCCAATGACTCTGGAGTTAAGCTCCACCCCTCTATATGATGGAGCCCCCACCCAACAACACTCACACACATTGAGGCATAAACCCACTCTCACACTGGCTTAAATAGGCCTTTAACAGCTTATGTCCGCTCTTCCTTTAATAGCCAAAGTGTGTCGAACCTAATGGATGTTGTCAAAGCTGAGATGTGACGGCTGATTTAGAGGAGGAACCCCAATGACCAGGCTTCACTAGCCACTAAAGACACAGAGGGAGAGAAAGAGAGGGTGGGGAAAGGGAGAGAGAATTACCTCAGCTATGCCACAAATCATAGTAATATCTTTAAAAGATGTGGGGATCGATGAGGTGTCATCTGGCTGTATCTTGTGTGTGAGTGAACCCATAAACAGCCAATGAGTGCTACAGACCTTTGTCCTCCATTTTAGACGCTTACGGAAAAAGTTTTCCAACCCATCAGCAGTTTTTACTTCTTTCTTTTTTTTTATTAAAGGAATTGATGTAATGTATTGTCAAACCAAGTTCGTACGGAAAAAAGAGCAGGTTCCATTTTAATTAGTTTAATTACAATGTTTATCTTGTATTAAACGGATCAAACTCTGAAAATAAGAAATACTGTTTATTGATGTGTGCTTTCTTGCATTAACTGTAAATCAATTAAGTTCCATGTGTTCATTTTTTACAAGATCATTGTAATTGCATTAATTTAATAAAGTTTATTGAAAATGCAATTATGCCCTCATTTATTGTAAATGCAATAATGATGTTACTGTGCACTGCATAACATCGGCTATTGTCATGGGAAGCACACAAAATAATTCTCTTTACTTTCACAATGTGTTTGTAATTAGCATTAGGCATTGGCAAGCTTAACAGAGATTATTTCCGCAAGTGGAATGATGACGGCTGAAACCTTGAGGTGAAGCAACACACACACACACACACACACACACACACACACACACACACACACACACACACACACACACACACACACACACACACACACACACACACACACACACACACACACACACACACACACACACACACACACACACACACACACACACACACACACACACCTCGGGGGGGGGGGATGTTTTTACTGTAATGCAGGGAAAAGCAGGTATGTGGTCTGTGATGTAAGCTACCCTTCGTGCTCTCTGCTCAGGTCATGGCAGAGTTTCAGTCCGCTGCTAACCCGTGCCCTGTGTTTGAACATTCTGAGTGTGTTGTCTGAGCCTGGCGAGGCAGCCTCATTATGTGACAGGCAGAGGAGAGTATTTGATCCTGGATATTTAGCCTCCTCCGCTCTGTCACAGCCACTGGAGCCCTCTCAAGGTAATTGACTGACTGTTTGATCTCCCTGTGACTCTACACTGGTACAAGACACACAGACACACAGACACACAGACACACACACACACACACACACACACACACACACACACACACACACACACACACACACACACACACACACACACAAGTGTGTATACTAATGGGTGGCACACACTCACACATAAGTTCACTCACACATGTATGCACTGTATCATCCCTCAAAACACCAAACAATTCAACACGCTCCCCCCAACACACACACAGTTGTTATCATTTGTGTGCAGTGAGGTAAGGGAACAGAGGAGGAGAGTTTTGAGCTGTAATAAGGGAAACAAGGAAACTCCTCCATAGCTATGGGCCATGCTTTCTTCCCTCCGCACCAAACGCTGCATGCTGTTACAAATGGTAATCGGCTCTGATTGTCACAAATTTCAAAACAAACGCTAGGTGACTGAAAAGCCAAAGTGACGCCCCGAGTGATACTGCGACAGAAAGCCAGAATCAAAGCATGCAGACTATAATTAGGTTCCATCTGGGCTACATTATTTAAAGCCGCACCAGTTAATTGCTTGTGTACAAATGGCCTATTTTATTTGAATCAAACTTTTTTTGTGATTCATAATTACATTGATGTGAAGGGGGCCATATCTCTTTACTTCATTTATAACATAAATACACATTCAAATTATTAAGAGGACTTTGAAGCAAGGGAAATGTAAAGTGATGATACTTTTCTTTGTGTGAATTGAATTTCCTTAAACAATTAGGAGTGCTTAATCAAATATACTGACATTTGGGTTAAACATTTAATAAGCTTCAATTAAAAAAAGGAGATGAACAATGATATCATCAGGAAGCGAAATAAACACAAACAGAATAACTAACAGGACTGATGCACATGGTATTATTGCATGCAGAAGCAAACATTTTCTCATTTCCTCTTGTCAAAGTTTTCATCAAAAATCAAACACTAACAGTGCATTTTCTTATCGATTTCCTATCAGCGGTAACCTAAGCTTTTGTCTCGATGCGAGGCAGAGCAATGCGTGGGGTGTGGGCCTCGTCTGGCTGTAACCTTAGCCGGGTGCTGTTTGTGGAAACTATCTGTTGCATGGATCAGCGGTGGAGAATCGCTATCTGTATCCTGGTTGTCAGACGATCGGATTTCCGCCCCTGACGCTCTCTGATATTAGATGATCTTCTATGGTATGTGCGAGCACAGTTGTGTGCAGATACTGTGTGCATACAGCCAGTTATGCATGTTGTGATGTTGCTTCAAGACATGCGTAAAGGTCAAGAATGTCATATTGTCCCACGTGGCTGTCTGTCGAATGTTGCCACTGGAGACGAGGTCAAAGAGTGCCCAGGCAGGTGACAGCCGAGCAGTCACACTGCCAGAGTAACACCGTCCTCTCTAACGAAACATGGAGATGTTTTCCTCACTCAAAAAGCTAATTAAATCTAACCCCCCCCCCCCTCCAGCACAACCCCTTAATATCCACTCAAGGCGAAGGCATCTACGTCAAACCAACAGACAG